TTCTGTATCAAGAATTTTCCAACTATCCCTCAGAAACATGCCCCCTTGTATGTGTGTATGTGTATAGACATACACATATATTTTAATTAGCAAATTTCCCCTAAGGTGGAATGAGTCTTCACTATCATGCTTAAAATGTTAGTATTCTGGCAATTACAGAAATAAACACTGTGTATTTTTTTCTTATTGCTAAAATTTTTATGTAGTGGCTTCATATAAAAACCTATTTCATTATTTATTCACATTTTCTATCACATGATGATTTTACAATTATTGTCTTACATGTAACTATATAAATTTGGGCAAATTTACCATTACAAGTTTCTAAATCTTTGATATTGTCCCCAGAATCATAAACACCACTTTGAATTGCTTTAAGAGCCTGTATTTAAAATTACTTTAGAATATGAATTGGGGTAAAAGTCAAGAGGTGTTTAGTCCCTGAATTACAAATTCTGTAAAGTTTTCTGTCAAAACTGAGAGCTTCTTGAGTTCCTGCATAAATACAGCAAAAAGGTAAAAGCAATTTTGAATTTGGCCCGCAGATAAATAGACATTAACCAGAATACTGGTGTAAAAAGAAGGCTTTGTTTAAATAAATAATGAGGAATACCTGTTCACTAGAAAAGTATCCGTGCACATATTCAATTGCCTTTAATTTGTATTCTGTCAAAACAGCCTAAAAAAGAACACACACACACACACACACAGTAAAACATCATTAATATACGTAAGCAGCACAGAATATGCATACATCAAAACTGCCTCAGCAACGAAACAGCGGCAGGTCTACTTCAGCCCCATCATGCCAAGGAACCAAGGTCACTGTGGTGAGAAGACCTTCCTTCCACATTTCCAGGTTCCATACTGTGAGGGAAACACTGAGCAAGCAGGAAGATCTTCTGGGCCTCCCTACCAACTTCTACAAAGACAGGGAATAAAACTGTAATAGATATAATTCAACATTAGTAGGCATTACATATAGAATTCCTAAATATGTAATTAAAGAGTTTCGAAACATCCGAAATCCAATCAAATTCTCATTTTTAAGATTTTAAGATTAAACATAACAGATGTTGTTACTCATCTGAGTAACAATGTTACTCATCAATGTCTGTGTCTGCCACTAACTGGCAGTGTAGACTTCAAAAGGCATTTTAATTCCCTTAGAGTTTCCTCACTCACAGAGGGAATACTATTTACCACCAACCTCAAAGAGTTACTGTGAGAACTGTAACAGTGGACATGAGATCAGACACATTATTATGTATTCAGTAAATGACGGTTCCTTTCCTTTATGGAACCCGTCAGTGAGTGAGAGAGAAGTTGGTGGCTTTGATGCAGCACTATCTACAGTCCACTAAATCACATATGCTCCCCTTGCAGCTATTTGCCCGGCTTAGAGATGGAAACAGCTATCCTAAATTGGTAGCCACTAATCATTGAAAATGAACTAATTCAGCCGGGCGCAGTGGCTCACGCCTGTAATCCCAGCACTTTGGGAGGCCGAGGCGGGTGGATCACAAGGTCAAGAGATCGAGACCATCCTGGTCAACATGGTGAAACCACGTCTCTACTAAAAATACAAAAATTAGCTGGGCATGGTGGCGCGTGCCTGTAATCCCAGCTACTCAGGAGGCTGAGGCAAGAGAATTGCCTGAACCCAGGAGGCAGAGGTTGTGGTGAGCTGAGATCGCGCCATTGCACTCCAGCCTGGGTAACAAGAACGAAACTCCGTCTCAAAAAAAAAAAAAAAAAACAAAAACGAATTCCTTTGCTTGTACTACAAAAAAATTATAATAATTGTACTTCTCACATATATCATTCTGCTAGGAGAAAGTATTCTACCAGTCAACTGAAATATGCTGGGTGCTCAGTAGTTCAATATTCACTGAAATGGGAGAAAATAGCATTCCAAATAATATTCACCTAGAAGTTTGGTTATCAATATAATAATCAGACACAGTCAAATACAAGTTTCTGAATAAAATCTTGGATTGTACTGATGCCAATCCTGAGAGGTTCAGCTGTAACCCCAGGCAGGACAGCATGTGTTCCGCAGGCAGAGTTTGAATACTGGACCTCCCCACTTACCAGTTGGGGAGACTTGAGCTGACTAGTTAACCTCACAGAAAGCAGGCTACCGTCCGTAAATGACAAGTATAGTGCCTATCTCAGGGGTTGTAAGGAGAATCAAAAGAAATAATGACTGGAGAAAGTGCTTAAAAACAGGTCCACAAAGTAAGTGCTCAGCAATTAATAGCTATCATTCCCTCCTTATTGAAGAACTAATTACGCATTGTTTTTCCCCCTTTCTATTCCGCTTCCTAGTTCTCCTCCCAGTGGCTTCTTACATGCCTCTGTTTTAAATGACAATAGTGACAATGAGTATTATCTATTATATAAACTCACTGTGATACTCAAGAGATGACCTGGTTTAAATTGACTTACATTTAAAAGTCTCAGAGCAATTTTTAAAAAAACAGTAGTAATGCTCATATTTAGACATGCCAATATTTTATTCAATTTTAATCGACTATGACAATGTTCATGTATTCAATCATTTGGCCAAAGTCAGTAGAAGACATATTATACCTGCGGACCAGAAATGCAGTCTTAAGTTGCCATCTCATGTGAACAGGACTTTCATATCTGGAAAATTTCCTGTTCCCCTCTTTAGAATTTACTGTGACATTTTTAGACACTTGGAAGTAAATGTGCACACCGACAACCGTTATCTTCCAAAAGTAAAAATCTGCTGGTTTACTTGGACTCACAAATTATTTTCTCACGAAAAGTAATTAAAAATCAGCTAGAGAACAAATTGTGACAAATTTCTAGGCATGTAATTAGTAAAGCAACATTTTAGTCCAAAAATTAATTGGACACATTGGGTTTGCAAAAGCAGAATTTGTTCAAAAAAAGTTCAGTATTATCAAATATGAAAAACTCAACACGTCAATTTGAAAAAAGAAAAAAGCTGTATAAAAACAAAGTAACACAGCAAGCCCAGAGACAATTTTAATAACAGCTTTGTAAACTGAAATAAATAAGCACCAGAGCACACGGGAACGATTCCTTCCGTTTCAGTCCAGGGTCGTAAAGGTATGCAAATGACGAAAGAATAATCGCAGCGTGTGTTGATGTAAAAATGGTACATCAAGTCCCTACATTTTAAAATAAGTAACTTCTCGCTATTCTTGTGCTTGAGATACTGTTAGGCTCGACTACCTTCTAGAATTGTTGCTGTCTGGTTCACCTGGGAGGTGGGATCCGCACAGCAGCCTCAAAAAGCAGCAAAAACTCAGAAAGCAGGAGAAAAAAAGTTTTGAAACTCAAGTTATTGATGGCCAATTCCTAAGAACGTGACTTTAAACTTAATGCCTTTAAAGTTATCATCAGGACACGAATTTTGCATGGCGAACGCAACAAATATGTTCTACCTAATGCTTAGATTTGAAAATCCCATCACAACTACCATAAAAAAACTTTCTGAGTATTACCTCTCGTTTTCAGTCACTCTTGTGGTACTGAAAGATGATAAACTCAAAAATATTCAACTACCTACCCAAAAGTACAGAGCTATTAAGGATTTGTAAAGCCGGCGTCGGAACTGAGGGCCGTGGGAATACAATTCCCACGACACCACGCTGAGTCTCAAATTTAGCGTTAACCTAACTTAATTTCTATTTATATTGGAAACGTATCAAGATACAAACTCCGCCATTACACGTGAGAATTCAAACCAATCTGGCAATCCTAGGACCCTTATTCTGCACAATCTCTACACAGTACCTCAGAGTCTAAACCATGAGAATTCACCTCTCACAAAATAAGTCATGGAATGAGTGTAATTACCTTTCTAATTTCATCCAGCACCATTTCAAAGGACTTTTTATCCATCTTGACTACTATCCCGACTGTGGTTTTAAACAGTTATACTTGCAATTACAACACGTTCATCCCTGGTCTGTTCCGTCGATAGTAAAAATATTTATAGCTGAGGAGGACTCCACGAGCAAGAGAAGATGCGAAGAGGTAGAGAGTATTGCAAACTTCGCAAAAAAAAAAAAAAAAAAAAAAAATTTTTTTTTTTTTTTTCAAAACTAAGACTCGGAAAAACTTTTTAAATTAAAAGCAAAAATTACTCCAATCAGGCTTCCCCAGCGTATTCACACAATGCTTCAGGGTACCTCGGGCAAGCGCCAGGTCCTGAGTCCTGCAGAGAAACCCGCGGCTCGGCGGCGGGGCTGGGCGCCGTTTCCCTGCAGGGAGGGCAAGGTGTCGCCGGAGGAAGCTCTTGAAGCCGCCTTTCCAGGTGAAGCGGCCGGCAAAGCAGAAGCACCTGCACTCGGAGTCCCGCGGGCGGCAGGGAGGGAGGCGCCGGTCTGTCGACCCGCCACTTGCGCCCCGGCCGCCGGCCGCGCCCCTCACCGCCGCGAACCCGGACACATGGCCCTGTTTGCGCTCATCCCCAGCCGCTCCGCCCGACTCCTGGGTACCTCGGCCCCGGCAGCAGGCGGCTCGGCAGGCTCTTTGTTACCAGCTGCTGCGGCTTCCGGGAACGGGCCGGCGGCTGGAGAGCACCGGGAGCCGGGCGAAGAGGGGCACGGCCTCGCATAGGGGGACTCCGGAAAAACGCAGCCCCGACAGCGCCGGGCGCCCTGCCTGGTTACCCCTACAACCCCCACCAGCTCTTGGGGACCTACGATACGGCCAGTCGCGCCCAAGTAAACTCAACACTGCGCCGCCAGCTTGGGCCCCTCTTTCCTGAAAGCCAGAGGTGGGGTCCTGGTGTGGGAACATAGGCATCCACAGCGGATGCCTGGATGACAGGAAAAGGATGTGGCAAAAATCCTTCCCGAAGTCCAGCAGTCATTATTTTGAATGTTATCCCCATTACACGTCGTGTTTGAGTGTGCGATGTTTGGATTTTGCGGTCTGAATTAAAAAGAAAAAATGGCGAGTGATTAAGGCATATTTACGGGCGCCCATACTTTGGTGGCCACGGGAAGTCAGCGGCGCAGCCTGCCCCGAGGGCGGGAAAGGGTGCTCACTGGGTCAGTCCGAAGCATCTGACAGGAGGGCGGGGACCCCGAAATGCACACGAAATCCGGAACTGGTCTTCTTTGATTTTCATTCGCCCTGGTCTCTGTTCCTTTTCGTACTCAGAGCTCGTGCCTCCCGGGAGGGGAAATTGGAGATACGGCCCCGGGCCCGGGGGTGACCCTCTGTGCCTCAAGGAACCGTTCGAGCCTGAGGCTGTCCAGCCCTCCCCAAGACATCTGCGGACCCGTCTCCCTCGCCTGGCTTCCCGTCTGGTCATGGCGAGATTCTGGGTCTGCGTAGCCGGTGCTGGCTTCTTTCTTGCATTTCTGGTTTTGCATTCGCGTTTTTGTCGCTCTCCAGTGAGTCGGGTAGTGAGGAAATGACTGTCGGGTGTGCGGATGACCCTGTTGGGAGGCGTCGCCCCAGTCGTGGGATGGAGGAGGCAGGCCCTGGTTCCCTCAGTAGCTTGTTTCAAAGCCTGCATCTGGGTCCGAACTGCTTGACTCTTTAAGTTTAAAAATTTGTATGTGTTACATCGCCATTTTCCTGTCTTTCCCAACTCCTCCTACACCCTCAAATAATCTGCAGACTTGTATGGGGTCGTGTTGGTCTTAAGGTGTATAAGCCCATTTCTTTGGAATTATTTCAGTGTAGCAAACTCCTAGTTGTCAAGGCATGCTTCACAATAAGCCTCGTTACCCCCTCCCGCTCTTTTTTTCCTTACCTAGAGGGTAAACTCAATCTGAATTGTCTGGTTTTATTTAAGGTTTTGAGGAACTTTACTTTTGCAGTTTCCTGGAGAGCTGAGGAAATTCTTTACCGGCTGGATGTGGATTGGCCTAAGCACCCGGAGTATTTTACCGGAGCAACATTTTGTGCTGCAGTTGACTCCCTCAACGGATTGGTTTACGTAGCTCAAGTAAGTAAAATTGGGATTAAAAAGCAAATTATGAGCACAAAGAAAACAGCCTTCCAGTCTTGCTGTGGTAACTGACCATATGCATTTTTATCATGCTAATTGTGCGATTTATTTTTGAGTTGGTTTCAAGTATTTTGCTTTCGAATGTGAAAGCTATGTTAGATTTTGAACATTAGTAAAATTCTCAGTTAATGTTTTTCTTCGTCAAGATACAGATGACCTTTCCTTAAAACTAATCTTTTATTTTTTGTATACCTTCAGAGAGGGGATAACATCCCAAAGATATTAGTGTTCACAGAGGATGGATATTTTCTACGAGCCTGGAATTATACAGTTGACTCGCCTCATGGTATATTTGCAGCAAGTACACAGTATGAACAATCCGTCTGGATCACGGATGTAGGAAGTGGTATGTATAGTAATATCTTAAATTATCTTGCTGGAAATCGCATCTTTACACATGTCCTTGGTTGTATTGTTTAAAATCAGAGTTGCCGAATGCAATTGTAATTTCTTTAACGATTCATGAAATCATATGTTTTTAACTTTATCTTGTGGAATTAAGAAATTTGACAAGGAGCCTGTTAGTATGATCTTTCCTTGAACTTGTCTAGGGACTTTTTAAAGCATCAGTTGTTTTCTCCGATTAAATAACTAAACCTCTTCACTGAAGCCAAATAAAGTGGCAGTCTCTAAAAGCAATGACTGGAGTCCTTGACTCTTCTTTTCCTTTTCCAGTTATCGTCCATAAAAGATTGTGAAATCGTAACTGCTTCATTGCTCAAAGTGCAAAGATTGCAGAAACTGGGTGGGAATGTTTTTGAAATTCTACTGACCGAAGCATGTCTGAAATCTTCCTGCCATCAAATATTTTTAATAGAAAAAGCTGAAAAATGAAGTGAGCACAACTGAATGTGCAGCTATGGAGAAAGTTTTCAGAGAAACAATTCGCCTGTGGCTGTAGCTTAAGACAAGGCAATATCTGAGCTATCCTGGCATTACCCGAGGAATTCAGGAAGAAAGGGGATTATAAAGACAGTATTTCTAGTATTCCTTGGCCCAGTTATGTTCATGAATTGAAGGGCATCCTGTTTCTACAGTTCTGGCTAATTCAGATACGTTTTTTATTTTTTGAGACGGAATCTTGCTTTTTCGCCAGGGTGCAGTGCAGTGGCAGATCTTGGCTCACTGCGCCGGCTCACTGCAACCTCCTCACTCAGATTCAAGCGATTCCCCTGCCTCAGCCTCCTGAGTAGCTGGGACTACAGGTGCACGCCACCACGCCCAACTAACTTTTTGTATTTTAGTAAGAGATGGGGTTTCACCATGGCCAGGATGGTCTTGATATCCTGACCTCATGATCTGCCCACCTCCGCCTCCCAAAGTGTTAGGATTACAGGCGTGAGCCACCAAGACCGGCCTCACATACTATTCTTTAGAGATAATGAGGTCTCAGTTTCTATAAGTAGTGCCATTATCACAGCTGTTCTCAGAACCCATAAAATTTCTGGGCCTCAGCTGATGACCCATTTATTTCATGCTGTGTTTTAGATGGTGAGATTTTGGTTAAACCAAAAAAATCTATAGATTATTACTGAGTGAATTGTAATGAGAGTTTACTATTTTCACTTTTTTCCTGAAGATCCACTGTTAAAGACCTTTTAGTTCATTTTATTCATGTAATTTTAAAAAATAAGACTTCATTGATTTCCAGAAATAGAAAGAGCACAGACAATCCCTTCATTCTTTCCATTACAGCTAATTTTCTACCCAGAGATCTGAAGACAGTTTTATGTTCCTATTTCCCAAAGGAATAGATTTCCTGTAATGAAAAATATGGCTAAAAATTAGCCCTTTTTAAAATAAAAAAATTGTTTGTTTATAGTCTTTTTTGCTAGTTTTTAGAAACTTTGAGGCTTGTGTGTTTTTTATTGCTTTTTTTATTGCTATAAACTTTAGCTCAACTGTCCAAAAGTATAATAATAAATAAATCATTTAAGATAGAATTATAATGCAAGCTGATTCACTTTCTGGTAAACTCAGTGTATCTAGTTTGTCTTTTGAATACCTGTCAATTAATTTGGTATATATACCTTCAAGTTGATTTCTGTTAACTACTTTATGATATTCACTTATTAATATTCTGCTTTATTTTCTTGCTTGTAAGATATTTTAACTTGAAGAAATTTTAACATGAGAAAATAAGACACTCATGATTTAGAAAGATTATTTTCTTCTTAGCAAAGAAATGTTGAGGGATTGAATTCTGAATTCCTCCACAAGGTGAAAATGCAGTTTAAAAAAGATCTGTACCATAGAGAAAGTTTTTGTTGACTTACTGAAGTTTAAGATCTGTATATGAATGATTGAAATAACAGTTTCAAATATAAGTTGTTGCCTTTACATTTTCTTCTTGATTTCCTTTTATAAGCAATGTTTATTCAAGTTCATAAGATTAAAAAAGAAAATGGTGCACCAATAATTTGTTAACCTTCTCAGTTTTCTGTATAATGAGTCAATTATATGGATGTTATTTAATTTAGAACCTACTTATTTTGGACTAATGGAGATTTTAATTCATAAGGCTGTAATTTACGAAGAAGTTAGTGTTTGTCAATTATAATATGTAATTTCCTAAGCCTATTATGGTTTAGTTCTATCAAATTTTTCAACTATTTATTACTGTTTAATTCTATCACATTTTTGCTCTTAGCTTACTTGAAAAATCTGAATGTTTGTATGGTGGCTTTATTTGTGAGATGTACATATCTATCTTTATAGGAGTCTATGGTCATACTGTTAAAAAATATAGTTCCTTCGGTGATCTTGTTCAAGTCTTGGGTACTCCAGGCAAAAAAGGCACTGGTTTGAATCCCCTGCAGTTTGATAACCCGGCAGAACTATATGTAGAGGACACAGGAGATATTTACATTGTGGATGGAGATGGAGGATTGAATAACAGGTTGATCAAACTGTCCCAAAGTATGTGGCTCGTTTATGGTATTATAAAAATATTATAAATTGGATTTAATTTGTTTGATACTTGGTGTAATGTTTTAAGTGTTGTGTATGAAGTGGTATGTAAAGAGCTAAGTGTATTACTATGAGAAAACTGAAAAACAGATAGGTGTGATTGCCCACAATAAATGATTCTGATAACAGGCCAACTTATTCTTCACCAAAGGCCAGGAGATTCCTCCAAAAGTAACTAGCAACGGTGTGAGAATTTACAGTGGACTCAGGAGATAAGTGTGTATCCTATTCAATTAGGAATGTAGAAATTAGAAACCTGGAATCCCAGAATCAAGTGTCCTACGGGCTGATTAATTGGCAAACATTTTATTGAGTGCCTTCTCTGTGTCCTCTCTAGTACCAGGAGGTACAGATCTATTATATATGAAACAGTGAAATGTATATAGTCTATGGTATTGATTCTTAAAGCAAAATGGACTTAGGAGGAGAAACTAAATTGCCTGAAGAAATAGAACAAACTGTCATGAAGAAAGTAGTTATTGAGCTAAACTGGTTTTGGTGGGAAGAGAAGGAAGGATGGATGGAACATTCATGGAGGGCTTATCATGCATGGTCTACAGGCAGTTATTAGCAGGAAAGAAGGTAAAGATGCACTTTTTCAGCAGCAGAAAATATGATTTGGGATGTTTTTGAAAGCTTATTTGAGGATTTTTAAAGCCATGTTTTTGCCTAGAAAGAGTTTTTGAGGTTTTCTTAGTAGGCAAGTGATGTCACAGTAGCAGTTTTATGAGATGCTCTCTCAGGATCTGTCATTTGGAGGCTGTGTAGTCAGTTTATCATTTAGTAACTGAATTTGGTTGCTAAAAGTTAAAAGGGAGATAGGGTAAGGATAAAGCAAGAATCCAAAACATTCAGTGAAAGACATAACCAAATCTAGGAGACAGATTGAATATGGGTGTATTAGTTTCCTGTGGTTGCCATAACAAATTGCCACAAACTGCATGGCTTTAAACAACAGAAATTTATTCTCACAGTTTTGGAATCCAGAAGTCAGAAATCTGGTAATGCCATGCTCACTTTAAAGGCCCTGCCTTGCCACTTCTAGTTTCTGGCAGCTCAGGCATTCCGTGGCTTGTGGCAACATAACTTCGGTCTCCATATTTACATGGTGGCCCCTTCTCTGTGTGTTTTCTTACTTCAGTCTTTTCCTTGTTTCTCTCAACAAGGGTTTAGAGCCCATCCAAAATCCAGGATGATCTCATGAGCTCCATAAGTTAATTTTATCTAAAAAACTATTTTCAAATAGCCTCACATTCCCAGGTATTCAGGAGTTAGGACCTGGACATCTCTTTAAAGGACCACAGTTGAACCCACCATAGTGGGTAATGAAGGAGATAGATGGCAAAATCATAATGTGAATTTTTAAGGTCTGTGGAATACTAATATCAAATAACAGGTTAGTTGGGAAGGGAGAGGATGGGATAAACCTTAAACAATGATTTAGAAGCAGTCATGAAAAGTTCAAGTGGAGATCATAATTAAAGAGGTAGATTAATTGCCTAAAGCAGAGAAGAAACTTGTGAAAAAATGAATCGTAAGAAATGGGCATATGGACAGGAAGCTGAGAAAGCATAGTCAAGCGAACCAGTCATGTAATTAAATCGCTATTTGTAACCTGTTTCATAAAATATGCAAATACATGAGACATTCTATATGTGCTCTGACTATATATTTTTACCATTTATAGATTTCATGATCCTTTGGCTGCATGGAGAAAATGGGACAGGGCCTGCTAAGTTCAACATACCTCATAGTGTTACACTTGATTCAGCTGGTCGGGTAAAAATACAGTGTCACTGTGTCTGGGACTATGTGTCTGAATATGTTTGTGCGTGTGTGTGTGTGTGTGTGTGTCTGGGCGTGTATATATATAGATTGTGGCATACATGTGTGTTAGTGGGTATGTTTGGGCAATTACTCTGGGGCTGGGCGTGCACACATATTTCTTACAAATGTTTGAGTCCTACAGTGAGGGGTTCCCCAAATATTTAGAAATGAGCAAAATGGATTTCCTATGTCACTTGAAGGATGGAAGGAACAAATAATGGATCTGGAAATAAAGTTACCTGGAAGAAAAAGTTGCCCTCTTACAAGAAAAACTCCACTGAAAGTGTTTGAATGTCTTTTCAATTCTCAAGGGAAAAATATGTGCTGATCTAAAGTGGAGTGGGAGAAGTTAACCTTGGAAGTTTAAAAAAGAGTTACCTAGGCAAACTGTTGCTCTCACTAGCTCCACTCTGCTTAGGGAACAGAAAGCTTTTAGCTAACACATTTCAGTCAGTTTCTCTCTTTTCTACCCCACTCACTACTATCTCTTTTGCCTTTACTCAACTTCTAAGCATAGATCTCACTTTTTTGAGGTTACCTTTTTACAACGAAACCCCCACCAAAAAAATTTGTATATTAGTTCCTCTTCCTCTTTCCCTATAGCAGCCTGTACTTCCTATCATAGTAACTATCATGCTATATTATAATCATTTGTCTGTCTCCCCTAATAGATTGTAGGCTGTTTGAAAGCATTTACTGAATCTCTTTTGCTTTATATCTTAGTGCCTAGTACATAATAGTCATACTTATTTATTAAATGACTAAATGTCTTGACACACAATGGATACATTAGGCTCCTTACCTTCATACCATTAGGCATTTAATCCATTTCTACATCTGATTCAGTGCTCAGCAAACAAACTTCTAATTGTGATTTGGCTTCCTAATCATAATTGATTGACAAGAATGAGAATTTTGTTTGTTTGTTTGTTTGTTTTTGAGACGGAGTTTCACTCTTGTTACCCAGGCTGGAGTGCAATGGCGCCATCTCGGCTCACTGCAACCTCCACCTCCTGGGTTCAGGCAATTCTCCTGCCTCAGCCTCCTGAGTAGCTGGGATTACAGGCACGCGCCACCATGCCCAGCTAATTTTTTGTATTTTTAATAGAGACAGGGTTTCACCATGTTGACCAGGATGGTCTCAATCTGTTGACCAGGATGGTCTCAATCTCTTGACCTCGTGATCCACCTGCCTCGGCCTCCCAAAGTGCTGGGATTACAGGCTTGAGCCACCGCGCCTGGCCGAGAATGTCATTAAATATTCTGATCTGCCATAAAATGTTAACCAACCATGTGAACTTTGTATGTAAATTGGGAACCAGAAAGTTGGGATTATGCTTTTACACATTATCCTCCTGAGCATGGGTAACTCATTGTGTGCTAAGAAAAAAATCAAATTTCAGAGCATGCAAGACCTCAACCCAGGTAAATTAATCATGGTGAGGAACACCCTTCTAAAAGGCCTCGGAAATCATTGGATGGGGTACTTTGGCATTCCGGAGTAACAAAGACTGTCAGTTTTACACAGGTGTGCTTTATAACAGTAGCAATTCTGTTCTGAGCATTTTACATAACCAACTCAGTTAATCATTAGCACAATCCTCTGTGAAAGGTTAATCAGTTCCAGAGTTAAAGACTTGTTGTTTTGTGTTAAACAGGATTTCCCATAATCAAAATGCATTGAGTGTTGAGCAGGAAGGATGATGCTAACAATCTAAAGTATCATTCCATCCTAGGGTGTAAACCGTATTTCCTCCTTGGTCATTTGTCTGAGATACTAATCTAAAAATCTTTAAGAAAACCCATCCTTAGTAAAGAATCATAGATCAGGAAAAGACCTTGAGAAATTGCTTCATTTAGGCATCAACAGCCTTTCTAAAATGATCTAGTGAGTCTTCATTTGTTTCTGATTGGAGATGAATTCAGTGGCTATCAACATTGACGCACATTGATGAAGATGTAGTCAGGGTTAGCTGTGAAGACATAATCTCTCAATCCATAAATCCAAAAAATCCAAAGGACCAAAAACAGGGAGGTAGAAGTAAAGAGGACCGACCCACCCCCAGTCCATTCTTTCATACCTCTCTACAGTCCTGGCCACAAGTCATCAAAAACCATTTCCCTTTATGTACGCCTTAACTTGCGTGCATGTAGCCATGAAATGTCATTTAGAGTGCATCTCACTTATTGTCTTGTAACAATTTCCTTAATAACCCATTACAGCCTACAACAAACCAAAATGAAACCTATTGCCATTCTTTATGTGTTGCTAAAATATCTCAAGCTTCCTCTTTAATTGGTTCAGCACTCTGGACATATCTTGGTAATAGCAGGTATGGGTTTAATGATACTGCAGTATGAATGAGTACCTCACCTTCTGCTGCCTTGAGCTCTTGAGAAGTAAGGCTGCTTTTCTTTGTCATGTTGCCTGGCCCAGGAGCTGACAAGCCAGTAGTACTCATTGAAAAATGAATGCTCGTTAGAGAAATGAATGAATATTGTTACTTTTCAGTATCTACTGATCCTCTGCATTATGATAGAGTACTTCAGCTTTTTAGTTATTCATACATTTCAAACAGTAGACAGTATTATAAGCTTTGGGTTAAGGCAGCTTTGGGTTGTGCCTCTCCCATTTGTAAGCTCACTTGAGAGAAGGCAGTCAACCTTTCTGAACTTTAGTTTTTCTTCATCTGAAAATCGGACTTATAATACCATCTTTGGAATCTTCTTAAGTATTAAGTGAGATAACGTATGTGAAACTAATGAAAATAAACATTCTTTTCCCTTTTTTTCTTCTCATACTATGGATATTTTTCAATTGACTTTTTTTGTGTGTTTCTCAGGTGTGGGTAGCTGACCGAGGAAATAAAAGAATCCAAGTATTTGATAAAGACACTGGGGAGTGGTTAGGAGCATGGAATAATTGTTTCACAGAAGAGGGACCTTCTGCAGTCAGGTAGTTGTTTCTTTTTATTACAAAGTGCTTGTTTTAGTTAGTGCACGGAACTCACTTTCTCTGAATAGCTAGCTGAAAGTTTAAAATATTTATTGTTAATTTTGAATTAGGGGAAAATAGAATTATACAGAGAAATTTGATATTTGATATTTTCAGATGTCAGATCAAGTGAAAACAAGAAATGACCTCTCCTCTAGCCTTTACTTGGTAAATTTTTAAACACAGGACAAAATTCAAACCTAGCCTAACATCAATTCTTCATTAGTTTCATTTTGAGTAAGACTATGATATTGATACTTAAAAAAAATTTAAGCTAATCTTTGGCTTGGCCAAAGATTATCATGCACACCTTACTCCCTCATATACAGAATTAGATCAAATTAAAATTCTCCTTAAAAGAATCATTCAGCAAGTAGTTGCCTACTGTTGTTTGGCACAGTGGGGGATTAAAACGTGGAAAAAAATGCCCTTATGTTTATTTCACAGACATTTAACATGTCTTTCTCCTTAGATTCACTCCTGATGGGAAGTACTTGATTGTGGCCCAGCTGAATCTTAGCAGGCTCTCGGTTGTAGCAGCGCCCCCTGTGGGAAGCATTGGAGAGTGTTCTGTGATCAGCACAATCCAACTAGCAGATCAAGTTTTGCCGCATCTCCTAGAAGTTGACAGAAAGACTGGAGCAGTCTATGTAGCAGAAATTGGAGCAAAACAAGTACAAAAATATGTCCCTTTGAATAGCTACGTTCCTCCATTTGGTTCATAATGTTTCCTTCCTGGAAATATTTCAAGTGGCAATTCAGATTCTCAAATTCACCAAGAGCTTTCAGCACATCATGAAAAATGATGTTCAAGCACAAAAGTTGTTGATTTTTACCTGATCTAGAATCAGAACGGTTTGTTTTTATGTCATTAAGAATCATACGTTTTGTTGCCCTCTTGAGACTTAGTTTTACTTAAAGTGCATAAGGATATTTTAATGAAGGGAATGTAACTAAAAAACGGGATTGGAAAGAGAGACTAAGGTTGTAACCTCATTATTTGCCCTGATAGACTAATTCTCCCTGGATAAAAAAAAATGGGAATAAAAGTGAGCTTGCAGAATAATTTATTAAATTTCACGTGAAGAGCTCCAGACCTCCAGATCGTGCAACTAACATAAAATGAACTGCCTGAGAGACTGTAAATACGATAAACTACGGATTAATTTGAGTACCCACAGAGTGCTGTGTCTTGACGACTTAAAATTGAGAAGCAGAATTGCCTTTTGAGTAGCTTACAGTCCAGTGGGGAGACAAGCAGACAAACAGTCACAACACAGCAAAAGCAATCTTGGAGCATAGTGGGACTTTCAGAAGTAGGAGCGCTTTTGACTGAGGTAATCATGGATACTTCATGGGAGAAGTGACTTTAAGTTCAGACTTGAAAACTCAGGAGGAGCTTACCACGGGACAACGAGGAGAAAATAATTTCCAAGTAAAGAAGGTATGAAGAGTTAGAAACATACTGTAAACTTTGGTAGGCTTTTTTTTAAAGCCCAACTTGGCTCTTGTCCATTACCTGTAAGATACTTAACATCAGTCAGCCTTTAAAGGTAGGAATAAAATGGCTGGCATCTAAGCACTTTTCTAAAAGGTTTTTACAAATAACAAAGGAATGTAGCGATTCCTACTCATTGTTTTCTTTTTGTTTCATTCTTCTTTTGTTTTACATGAACTCAGCTTATTCCTAACATTTGTCTACCTCAAAGAAATTTCAGGATTATTTAGATAACATAGACACGTGCCAAATACTTTGGATAATTTCGGCCCGGCATGGTGGCTCATGCCTGTAATCCCAGCACTTCAGGAGGCCGAGGCAGGTGGATAACGAGGTCAAGAGATCGAAGCCATCCCGCCAACATGGTAAAACCTTGTCTCTACTAAAAATACAAAAATCAGCTGGGTATGGGGTGATATGCACTTGTAGTCCCAGCTACTTGGGAGACTGAGGCAGGAGAATCTCTGGAACCCAGGAGGCAGAGGTTGCAGTGAGCCAAGATCATGTCACTGCACTCCAGACTGGCAACAGAGCAAGACTCTGTCTCAAAAAAAAAAAAAAAAAGATGGATAATTTCCTGCCTTCCTCCTTCTACATTTTCTCCTCCCAACCCTCCTTGGGTCTGAATATTGGCTTCCCAAATAAGACCTTTTTTTCAGTTTGTTTTAGCTTATTACAGGTTCTGGAGGAGCGTGGCCATTTTATAATCTTTCAAATCGTCTTCTCCCCTTCCTCACATCAGCTTCCTGCTTTCCCCGGTGTTATACTGTAAATTATGTAGCATGTGACAAATCTTGAGCTGCCTTTGCTCATTACCTGTGCTGGAGTATTTTCCAGACCTAAAGGGACTCACGCTTGTTTTGACACGTGGATCATATCTCTTCCGTGTGGTTAGGAAGGTAAATCTACCAATAGAAAGCCCTGTACTCTATTCCAAGGCCACTGATAAACGTGTTTGTGCCACTGATTGGACTATATGACCTTGAACAAGTCACCTTCATTTTCTCTTTAGTGAAATGGGAACTTCATTGTCTCCTCTTTCATGAATGCTGTGAGAATCAGATGTGCACAGGTATAGACTTGCCCTTTGAAATCTATACCTCTGGATTCATTGGAGGCATTTTATTAACAAAGGCCCTTCTAAATGTGCTATTTATCTGATATATCTACCAGATTTGCCTTAATTTTGTGTTTATAGCATTTATCAAAATGTATCCTCAGAATCTTTATGTAAATTAACTAATGTGGTCAATTGATTTGGATAAAAGAAATTAATTTCAGGGTTTGTTTCTAAGCCAGGGCAAGAAGTGCAAATGCCTCCTTGAAGCAACTTAGGCTAGGTAAACTAATTTTGTCATTTCAAAATGTTTCGTTTTACTTTGTTTTATATTGGGGTCATATAAAACTTGCTGAGAATATTTCTGAATATCTTTGTAAGACCCATAAGGTTGGATTTTTCAAGTAGAATATTTATTGATCAGAGGAAGCTTGGATGAAATCTGATGGCAAACAAAGATTCACCACAAATTATTAAACACTTTGTTCTTAGGTCACTTATGAGATTAAAAGACTGCTTCAAGCAATGTAGTGTAACGCTAAGGCAGTAACGTCCAACTTCGGTTTGGCCTTTGCTGGTATTAAGCACTTTTGGATTTCAAAACTGAAATCCAGATTGGATAGCCAACATTAAAACTGGAAACTCAAATTTTTGCTTTTTAGGCTCACCAAAATAAATGAGAATTTTAAAAGTCCTAAATTTATTACTTTATTTTGTTGTAGTCTCTGCTATATATTTTCAGCAACAATAAAAAAAATCAAAATACTCAGCTTTATTGATTCAGTAAAAAGTTGTGAGACAGCAAACATATAAAGGCACTCAGGCAAGTGTGCTGTGCTCTAACAGATCCCTACCCAGTGGGGAAAACAAGCTGCTTAAACCTTGTCCTTCAGTAGTTTAGGAGGTACCATTTTTGGCACTTGCATTACGTTACATTCTTGATACACAAGAGGTCAGTAGCGTTCTGCTTATGATAAGCATTCTTGAAATCAAACACGAGCTAATCTTCATACTTTGATTTATTTTTAAATTGAAGCTACAGTGTTCACTATACTTTTATTGTTTTTCTTTTTTCTGCAACTTGCTTATATCTTGAGGAAATTGGTTTATGGGTGAAACATTTTCCAAGCATTGTTGGAAATTTTTTACTGGTTCATTGGACTTGTCCACAATTAAAAAGAAAAGTTTAAACTTTTTCAATAATTCAAACTAAATTAATTCACCAGAAGTGAATTAATTTATTTTAAATGAAGGTGAAACTAATCCGAATGTGTGAGTTTCGTACAATAGAGAATGAATTTGTATTGGGGGGAATTATTCTTTTTTATCCCTTCTAGGTGTGTGTTGTTGTTTAAAAAAAACAAACCAATTTCACCTTGTGGTTGCTATTTTACAAATAAGAAAAATGAGGTTTTTTGTTTTTTTTTTAACAAAGACTCTAAGTAATTTCTTCATCAGATACTTTATGGCATCCATGAGTTTATAAATTAATCCTCTAATAGAATTTGAGCAATGAAAAATAATACTACTTAAAACTTATTTTTTTATTGTAAGCGATGAAGTAATATGATTTAATTCTGCTTCTCTGTAATCCATAAATAAAACTCATTGTAACACATGAAAGAAGCATGTCCTACATAAGTTATCCTTTAAATAGATTAATTTGCATGAGTCACGACAAATTGACATTATAAACTTGCTTCTCAGTTTTCAGCTGCTTTACCAAAGGAAGAAAATTTTAATATCATGGTCCAGATTCTCAGATTTTTTTCTAACTAGAATTGGTTACTATAATATGTGTTAGAAAAAAATTTTTTTTACTATAGGACATTTGTATACAAATTGTCACAATTACCAAAGTTAAATGTTTTTATAGCTTCTTTCTTCACAGTGTGTATAAAGAAGTATTTAAATACTTTGATGCTTCCAATATTGAACTGAAATACTAATTTTTATTTCAATAAACGGATTAAGGAACTAACTGTATTTGTTTTTAATCAACATTAATTTAGGTAAACGTATTCAGTTTTTTGTGGTGTGTATGGGGGTGACGTGTACGCAGTCTGTGTGCATATGTGTAAATATAAATGTGCATCTAAAGGACATTGTGCCTAACTAGGTGGAAGAACTGAATCAAAGCAGTTGAAATTTTACATGGCCAACTGTAAGTCTTCACGGGAGGAAACCCGGTTTGGCAACAAATTATTTGAAAAAGTTTTAGAAAGTTTGTTATTAAAAATGTTGCAGTCTTAGATAACATTGAAGTGTAGATCTAATGGCAATTTAATTGACAAGATAGTCTGTATACCTAATAAGCAGCTCTGTGGTGTTTTGGCTACTACATTTTAAGAGGGAATCCTATCAACGGTCTAACCCAAAAGCAGTGTGGTGGTTAATAGTGTCTACTTGATTGGATTGAAGGATGCAAAGTCTTGTTCCTGTGTTTGTCTGTGAAGGGGTTGCCAAAGGAGATGTACATTTGAATCAATGGACTGTGAGGGGTGGACCCACCCTCAATCTGGGTGGGTGCCATCTAATCAGCTGCCAGTGTGGCCAGGATAAAAGCAGGCAGAATGAACGTGGAAGGATTAGACTGGCTGAGTCTTCTGGACTCCATCCTTCTCCCATGCTGAATGCTTCCTGCCCTTGGATATTGGACTTCAAGTTCGGACTTACACCAGTGGTGGGCCAGGGGCTCTCAGACCTTCTGCCACAGACTGAAGGCTGCACTGTCAGCTTCCCTGTTTTTGAGGTTTTGGGACTCAGACTGGCTTCACTGCTCCTCAGCTTGCAGGTGGCCTGTTGTGAGACTTTACTTTGTGATCGTGTGAGTGAGTACTCTTTAATAAACTCCCTTTCATATATATATCTATCCTATTAGTCCTGTCTCTCTAGGCAACCCTGATACAAGCAGGTAACCAAAATAGCAGTGTTTGGAAATAATTCTGAAGTCTCAGAGGTTGATCCTGTAGTACAGTGAATAGAATTCTGCACTTTCCTCCAGAATTAAGGCAATGAGTACAAATAGTGGAGTGGCCCATTGGGTCAGCCCAATAAAAGAGCCCTCCTGTAGCAGTGGAATGGGCTATAGTAGTGGATGTGGTAAAGCTTGGTGTTTTTTTTTTTTTTTTTTTTTTTTTAATGGAACGGTATAGTGCCTTCTTGTTTCATCTGAGCAAAAGACAAGGTTAGGGGCCCAAGCTTGGTGTTTTACAGCTTGGAATCCAGAGTTAGGCTGACCTATGTTCTAATCCACACCCTGCCACTAAATTGTATTGTTTTGAGCTACTATGCCTCATTTTTTTCTCATTTGTGAAATGGGAATATTGATACTTTCTTTTGGGATTATTGTGAATACAAATAAGATCATGCATGTAAAGCATTAAGCCCAGTCTCTGACACTCACTAAGCACTCAAGAAACCTTAAGGGATTCACTTGTGGTATTTCAGCCAGACAATGGCAGTCATGGCACCACCTTTGGGAAGGGTTTGGGAGAACGGTGAGGCCACATGACCTTCCCTATTCTATAATTCTGTGTTTAGTCACAGTATTGAAAACTAAAAGTAAGGCTATAATACACTAAAGCATCTATCATTTAGAAATGACATTTTAAAAAGCATGGCTGTTTTTCGTTGGCATTAATGCTATGTATCCAATAGATAATTTATGAGCAAGGTAAAGACTCCCACCTTTTTTTAAGAATAATATTCACTATTTAATACTTTCATGTACCCAGCAGTGCAGGAACCACAGAGAGTAATCTTTCCCAAACCTGATTTGGCAACAAATTATTTGAAAATGTTCTAGAAAGTTTGTTATTAAAAATGTTGCAATCTTGGATAACATTGAAGTGTAGATTTAATGGCAATTTAATTGACAAGATAAGTCAATTAAATTGTGAATCTGGGTAAGTTCTGTGGCAAAGAAGAGTGAATCTGATTAAGTTCTGTGGCTAAATAACCATCCCCCCAAAAAAGCAATACATCTGGAGAAAAAAAGATACAAAACCAAATCTACTCATTTTAAACCATGGAGAAAAAACAATTTCCACGTATTTCTTTAAAATCTTTTAATATATATAAAAAATTTAATATGCTTTTACAGTTTTATGGGATATATGACTGCCCAGGGAATGCTACAGTGTCAGGCACAATTTGAAACTCTTCCATGAGTTCTGCTAGAACTGAGATGTATAGCAGATTATAGAGGCAATTTTTAACTAATATCGTTAAGATATGGACAACCCTAGGGCTGTAGGTATTCTGTGAAGGTAAATATGAGACGATTATATTCCCCATATTAGATTGCTTCTCATCAGACACGTAACACTAAGCTTGTTTTGACACTGTTTTTAAAAAGATCCAGTTTTAATAAACTTCCTCAAGGTAGAAAAAAATAGTAATTTTGATCTATTAAAGATGATATATATTGATAAAACACAGTCTTGTTCCTGAATAAGCGATAAACTATCACTCTAATGTATGAACACTCATGAAATAATCACCTAGCTATTGTAATTGTACGTATTGAAATTTTCAGTTCAACTCTTTTCTTTTGATATAAGGGAAAATAAAATGATTGGCTTCAAATCTATTTTTAGTAATGTAAAATATGTGAGCTTTATTACATATTAAAGAAAATAAAAATATGACCCCAAATTTATTTACTTACCAAAATTACAATAAAATATTTTAAACGTGTAAAATTACAAATAACTGATTTTTTTTCAATAAAGTTACCTGATATACTGTTTAAAGGCAGGATCAAACAAAAATACGTTTAATGATTTTCAGCTCATTTTCAAGTCACCTTATTGAAAGATATATCATGAAATCTATAGTTGTACATCTAGGAAATTTACCAATGGAGCTCTCTTCTACCAGTGTGTATATTTTAATTTGTCTCATATGGATGTCTCCTCCGTTTGGATGATTGGCTAGGACGGCAATCTGTATCACGAGTGTGTGAGTTGGCTTCTTATGATTATCAGTTAAGGAAACATGAAACCAGCCACTTGGTTCCACTAATTCAAGTTGCTCCTTCCCTTTTGTCTTCTGCCATGATTCAAGGCTTCCCCAGCCATGCCTCCTGTACAGCCTGTGGAGCCGATTTCTGGAAGGTTGTGAGAATTATTTCCTACTCTGACTGAGATCTTGCTTGGAGTATAGCTTTCATTAGATTTGTAGTCTGCATAAATACATAATGTCTTCACTGTTGTTTTTCTTCTGAATTGGATGTTCACTAAATGAAGGGAACCATCTCATTGCTAATAAGCTTCTAGATTGTCATCTCGTAACTGATCCACTCCAAATCCTGGTTTGCAAGATGAGAGTGACCAAACAGCTTGTGACCCAATTTCCTGTACTGCTCCAGTAGGATCAGCACCAGGAGGTGTCTTGTTTGGTGTGGTCGTTTTTTAAATATTAGTTGCCAGCCTGGCTGCTTGCCGAAACTCAGGTTCTCAGGACCCCCAGCAGCTCTGTGCCACTCCCACTCGGCTTCCTAGACTCCCACCTTCTAAAATTTACATTCTCGTTGGAAAAATGGGATTTCGGTTATCATTTATGGCATACATTAACGCTTAGTTGGTTAAGCAAATACTCATTCTCAGTGTTCTCCTTGCCCTTCCACTCCTGTAACAACTGGAAGAGCTGGGTGCTCGCTTCCTTGGCTGCTGGCATCTATAGGTAGCTCTGTGACGTGGCTCTGACCAATGCAGCGTAATTGGAAGTCTACTGGTAGACTTCTAGAAAAGCATTTGCTTTTGATTAAAAAAACAAACAAACAAAAAAAAAAACAGCATCACTCCTTTATTCCCTTCTTCCCTGCTTCGAACTTGAAGTGATGCCTGAAGTTGCAGTAGCCACCTCAGAACTATGAAGCCACAAATTAGCAATTCTAGGGCGGAAAGATTTTAGCCTGGGTTTTTAGCATGTTGGGGAACCACTGCATTGTCCTTGTATTCCTCTCTCCAGACTTGTTTTTACGTGAGAGAATTAAATGTGACTTAAGCCACTGTTAGTTAATGTTTTCTTGCAGATGAAAACACTGTAAGAAATACAATATTGAGTTAAACTGCATTATTTGGGAAGGATGGATATTTTTATGGTTTTAAGATTCTGTATCCAGGAATATGTCATTCTACTGTCTTATGTCCTTTAAGATTTTACAGATTAAAAAAAAAAATTTAGATCCTGTGCCTTTCTCTCATGACGAATTTAGATTTTGTGTCAAATTTATTCTATGCACTTATTACTGATACTAGTGTAGGATTTCCCTCCATTTCCATTTAGTTATTGGAGATACAGAGAAAAGGAATCCATTTGTTTTATATATATTATATATTAACCTTACTCATTTTAATTAGCTATTATAGACATTTGGATTTTATGGGTAGAACACTGAAAAAAAAATACACCTTTTAATATTTGTATTGTTTTGTTTGATTTTCAAAATGTTATTACATCAGCTACACTATTTAAAACAATTTTGAATGATGGGGGATATCCTTGCCTTATTTCTGATTTTAATGGAAATGTTAGCACTACACCAATTATTAATGATATAATATTTGCTATTAAGTTTTGGTAATTTTCAAATTCAAGTTTTTTATCTCAGAGTTTTATTGAGAATACTTACTTTTATTAAATGGCTTTTGACATTGATGTAGATAATATGTTGATGGAATGAATATTAAAGATTATTTTTCTTACTATTTGTACCATTTACTAATTATGTTTCTCCCATCTCCAAAAGGAAATTGACTTTTCTTACAATAAAATAATTAGAATACATTAAAATAGAAAAAGTAATGTCAAACAAACATTTTATAGGAAAGTAGATTTATTGGAAACCTCGATTAGTAATAGTTACAGCAATAAAACATTAGGTTAATTCTGAGTTTTCTGTAGCTATGGCAGAGAATCAAATATAAGTATTTCTCATTTAATCTCCATTCATTTGGAAAAAACTAGAG